TTAGAAAACAGTACACTGACCAACCAGAAGGCAAAAGGTTTTGTTGTTACTTTGTGTTTGAATAACCCCTGCAAGGGTGGGCTTTATGCTTCTTTTGTTCTGTAGACAAAAATAACAGTGGGCAAGATGCCATTTGTCATCTGGGCAGCCTCTTTGCAAGCTCTATGTTGGAACCTGACTCTTACACTGGTGGTGGAAGATTACGAATGGCATGAAAGTGGTAATCGTAGATAACTGCCGCACTCCTTACCGAATGTCCCTTGTGTTAAAAGGTGGGTGCTGAAGCGGCTGCAGATGTCGACACGCATCACAGTGCGCATGAGAAATGTCACCAGCACACCAATGGATGATGTCCAAAATAAAGCATCTTTTATTCACGCATATTGTCACATCAAAAATTCAACATTTCGGGGCCACGCAGATTCCCCTTCATCAGGCTTAACATGACATGTTAGGTCTGATGAAGGGGACCCCGCAACGTTGCATTTTTGACATGACAATATGAGTGAATAAAAGATGCTTTATTTTGGACATGGTCCATTGGTGTGCTGGTAACGTTTTTGATGTACACTGGCATGAAAGTACATCTCACTCTGCATGGAGACAGCTGGTCCCTGCTAAAGATGAGCTATCTCGTGCTGAATTGTCAGCGGTGTTCAACCGTCAAAATTTGGAGAGGAAGTGGACAGTTAGTGTGGCTTGTAAAGCCTGCTGTACATATCCACTGGAGTAAGCATTGTGATTCCGCTGACAGAAGTGACTGTATGCGGTTTTTGCGAGTGGTGGAAATGGGTGAATCTGCAGCCCATGGTACTTAATAAAGCCACTGCTATAGTCTAATGCCGCTTAGCAACAGGCCACTGTCGCACAGCAATGGCTTATTAGCAGAACCTGGAACAGCAGCAAAAGATTCTGGTGCAGCAGCAAGAACCTAATAGACTGATGGGGGCCTCAGGTGACTGCTTTGGCTCAGGCACAGAGAGGGTACGACAGCCTTTAAATCAGGTGTTACAATAGCTTATGGCCCAAGGTCATAAGCTATTAGTAAGCCACTACTTTCAGAAAATGACCCCACTAGATGACATAGTCCTATCACAATACTTTCAAATGGACAGCCAAACGTGTCATAGAACAAATTACAGGGTGGGGTGTATAACAGATTGGTGAGAGTATAAATGTTCCTTCCAGGGGATGATTGAGTGCTGGTCTTAGTCCCCAAGATGTAAAGTAGGCTTCTGGCCAAGTGGAATAGTGGGAAGTGTAGAAGTGAACTACACGTTGTACCAGCCAAATGGTTAAAAAAAAAAAAAAAAAAATTCAAATGAAACTTATTAAGGCTTGGACGGATAGAGGTGCTCTTACCCACAATCCAAAGGCTTCCACTTATTAAAGTTTAAAGCAAGCTCCGTGAAGACAGCCACTGCTAGTAGCCCTGAATTTGAACAAAGAATTTATAGTCCAGACTGATGCCTCCACGTGTAGGACTGGGGGTTGCGCTGTTCCAAATGGTTGATTGAGTGGTGGCTGGTGGTCTGTTAGAGTTGGAAGCTGAAACTGGCAGAGAGAAATTCTAGTATTGTGGAGCGAGAGTGTCTGGCCATTTAGTGCACCTTGGTAGTTCTATGTTACCATTTGCTGGGCTGCCGCTTGTGACTAATAACAGACAATGTTTTTTTAGGATGGATGGCCCAGGCCAAGGAGCACAATTTGAGCGTTAGCCACCGGTACCTGGATTCTTTTTTCAAAGTGGATCACCAAGTTGGTTGTAATTAATGAGCCTGGGTTCGCCCAAACCTGCTCAAAGCTGTGACTGATCCACCCCCCACCAAATCAGTCGCGGCGAGGCACATTCCCTACCCCACAGCTATATGTTACAAAGGGGTGGGAAATACCCCCACCACTGATTGGGTCATGAAGTGGGAGTGTCAGTCAAAGATTTAAGTAGGCTTGGTCTCAGGTCTCCTGCTCTGCCAGACAGTGCTTTGCTCTGTAGAAGAGCCATGTAAAACTTGTTCACACCATGTCCGTTGAGCTGTGTTTTTCTGCGCACCTCCGCACAGGTATGGCTATTCACACTATACCTGTGCAGTGGTGCACAGAAAAATGCAGCACAATGGACATGTAAACAAGCCCTTTTTAGAGATGGATGGACAGAGAAACAAATGCTTTGGTAGGAAAAACAGCTTCCTTATGTTTTTCACTTCTGTATTTAGCAGTTTGCCTAGAGTTCAGCTGATATAAATAAAAAAGATGACATACAAAGTTTGGATTTGCTGACCCCTTCAAAATATGGTCAAATGGCCAGGCACAGTGGCAAAATAAATATGATATTGTATTGTTGGAAGAGAAGTCAGATATGTGTTGGAAATTATATTACTACCATTATATTAACTATGACCATTTTTAAAACTGTTTACATAAAGCAATTGTTTTAGTTTAGTTGTCCTCAATTAGGAAGTGCTTGCCCTCTTTAAAATGAATTTCACCAGAAATGACTTTTCTTACCAATGATCCTTCAGTCACTTGGCACTGAAATATTTTTATTATCCTTCTGTTAATGACATGGCAAGAAATTACATCGTTCTATAGTAATAAAAACAGCTTTACAATTCCTTTCTTGACAGGTGGGAAAATAGAGATTAGGTCTAGAAACACAAAAAAGATTTATTAGCATAAAAATACAGCTTGTTAAGCACAGGATAACCTGCTCACCAAACAAGCTAATTCCAAATTATTTAACATTTCATATTTACATTTGCAAGATACAACAGCTACATAATTTAAAGTACAAAACAATGCTAAAAATAAGCAGGTAAATTACAAATAAAAAAACACATCAACTATACAGTACTTTCACAGAGAAAAAATTCCAAAACACTACTGATGTTACACCAGTAGGTGACAGCATACATACACTTATGTACAATATTGGCAGTTATTTACCGAACAGCCCTAGAAATGCAACTCTTATGTGAAAGACTGCAAATCTTTTTCGGTTAAAAAGGGGAAAAAAATACAGCAAAAAATTGTAAAAAGTCAGCTTTCAATGCAGCAAGTGATGAAATAAGGAATTTTGCCTAGTGGAAAAACAAGTATACAGACTAGGCGCATGGTCATAGGCAATCCATTAATAAGCCAATATCAACTAAATGACATAGGGGATATTTAGGAAACATATTTACAAAACGGAGCAGGTAAGACACAAGGTTTAACTTATTTCATGTGCTCGAAGATGAGTTTTAATCCCTGATTTATTTCAATTTGATGAGGAACGTCTTAGATAAAATGAGTGATTGTGTGACTCAAGATTTTGCCAGTGTTGTCTCCATTATGACGTACTGCCGGAACAGTGAGAAGACAATGTAAGAGGTAATGAGAATATTCATAGTAACTTATTAAGGTAAAAGGGCAAAAATGCCATAATGAACAACTGGTAAAATTATTTAGAGCCAGTTAGATTTACAAATGAATTGCTGAAATCCAACTGCTTGCTATTGCCAGGTGCACACTGTTGTTCTTACGAATAAAGTGACAGTAAACTCAGGAGTTAAATCATAAAAATGCATTCCAGTACCTTAACCATTAACAAAAATCTATCTTATTTGTGTATCACTCAGCTGTAGATCCTCAAATCATCTCTGAATTGGTGCCGACACTGTCCTTCCTTCTGGAGGGTGGCTACTATTATTACTCATGATTCCTGTGCATGTTGTAAAGTAGCCACCGCTCCAAGCTCGCTCCCATGATAGACTATAACTTCAATACAAATCAGTAAACTAAATATGAAATTGTAGTCCTTCATGGGAGCGAGCTTAGAGCAGTGGCTACTTTAAAACACACACAATTGGGAACAGAAGTAGCCACCCTTCAGAAGGAAGGACAGTGTCAGCACAAATTCAGAGATGATTTGAGAATCTACAGCCCAGTGATGCACAAATAAGATACATTCATATTAATAGTTAAGGTACTTGAATTTAATGTTTAAGATTTAACTCCTGAGTTTATTGCCACTTTAATACTTAGTGTCTACAGTTAAACAGAATTATGTTCCTACGATGAACATCTGCAGAACATATGGATAACTACAGACAAATAAAAAAATACCAGGCAGTCAGTGGCAGAAAAATGCCACCACTGTGACAAGCCAGGTGATCCTTGCATAGCCCACTAGTTAAAGCAGGCCCACCAAAATGGCCCAAAATTACTGAGCGCTCTGCTCCTGAGCTTCTGTGTAGGGCCTGTGATGATAGGCTTGTGTCGATCGCATCAGTTTGAGACTTCTGAGATCATTTGAAATTAGCATTTGAACAGCAGATGACCTCCTTCTGACCTGCATTTGACCCACTTCAAGTGGATTCTGCACGTCCATAGACTTGATGCAAAACCCACTTGAAGCAAACAAAAACTGGTCAACCCAGGTTTATACTGTTCCCATTTAAATCATTTGACCTTTACAAGAACTGATCAAGAGAAAGAAGTTCAGTAACAGTACAGACCATGGGACAGAAGCAGAGTTTGCATATTGTGCACAGTGAGGTGATTCATCTGGTTTCAGGTTTCATCTTTCAATGCAGAATGGAATCTGATTGCTATTGGCAACTGCTCCCCTTTTGTTTCAGTTCTGGAAAAGCAGCCCGAGTCAAGACACAGGGCTATCTGCTGAAGTTCCATATGTAGTAGTATTTGTAGTTTGTACAGATTGAGCAGTGTGATTACCGGGTTTAAATGTCTTATTCTGAATGCCTGTAATTGTTATCTTGACATATCAAGCATGCATAGTGTAAATACCTGCCAGTCCAGTCTATATACAGTACAATTGCCAGTGACCAGTCCCTCCTCTGCCCCCAAACTGTTTCATACTGAAATGAGAGGGAAGTGGTTGCCATGAGGTGATGAAGAATCTAGGGAGCTTAGACCCAGAGTTATTAAACCAATTCAGGAGAGCAGAGGGTTTAAATGATTGCTGCATTAGAGGGTGTAAAAACTTGAAGACCTTTTATACAATTTATTTCAGAGCAATGTAAACGGAGTTAGATTTATTATAAGAAAATATTTGGTCCTTGGTACATTGGCACAAAACAGAAATATCCTCCTAAAATCTGAATCCTAATCTATACAGATTCCTAACAGACTGCAGTTATGCTACGACACAGAAACCTGCACACCATTAAATTCAGTTTCTCAACTTCCAGAAAACATTGTGAATTTAGGTACATTAGCACAGACATCAGTCATTTCCTCATGTGAAGTGCATCCTGAAATTTGGTACTGGTATATCGAGCATGGAATCCTTTTTTATTTATGGTGTCATCCGTGTGAAAGCGAATCATGAGCGAGTCTCCAGCTGAATAGATTTCTTCAGGAGGCTAAAGAAAAATAAAAGTACATATACTGTAATCAGAGACAAGACTAGAAACAACTATAGAGTCAATTATGAATACATGACTAGACACAAGTAGGGAGACCAGAGTAGGGTCAAGAGCCGAGCCAAGTATACTGCAGAGACGAGAACCGAGCCAAGCATAGAGACGAGAACCGAGCCAAGCATAGAGACGAGAACCGAGCCAAGCATAGAGACGAGAACCGAGCCAAGCATAGAGACGAGAACCGAGCCAAGCATAGAGACGAGAACCGAGCCAAGCATAGAGACGAGAACCGAGCCAAGTACAGAGACGAGAACCGAGCCAAGTACAGAGACGAGAACCCAGCCAAGTACAGAGACCATTATAGCTACAAGTAGAGGCAAGAACAGAGACAAGAACAGAGTTAAGAATAGAGACATGTAGACATGTATAAGAGGAAAGAATAGAGCCAAGTCCCACAGCAAAACAGTGCAGATAAAAACAGTTTCAAGTATAAATAAAAGGTAAAGTGGGCATGTTGCCCTTAAATTCCAATTGAACATTTAGTTAAAATCAGCTAAATTTATTACATGTGCAATCAAAACAAAAGTTGTACTTATTTTTAGTTTGTGTTCTAACTAAAGCTGCCTGAAAAGAAAAGCCTGTTCCCTGCCAGCGGCTGCAGACATTGGACAAGCCCCTTACTTATTCAGACCATTGGCTCTGCAATCAGCAAAGCTCATACTACCTGTTGATTAGACAGCTCTGGCTCTGAGTTAGCAGGGGGTATGTTGGATGCCTGCAAAGAGACCACTGTGTCCCTATACAGAGCAAAGCTCAAACCCTGTAGCACCTGGCAGGGAACAAGCTTGTTTTACGTAAGCTATGGATGATTTTGATTGATACTAGAAAGTTTTTGGCTACTGGTTTACTGTAGAATCCTCAGCTTGGTATAGAGCAGGGTTCTCAAACCTCCGGCCCTCCAGCTGTGGTGAAACTACAAATCCCATGATGCATCTCTTAGGAGTCATGTCTGTAGCTGTGAGAATCTTGCAATGCCTCATGGGATTTGTAGTTCCACCACAGCTGGAGGGCCGGAGGTTTGAGACCCCTGGTATAGAGTAAAGTAGGAAGAGAATAGAAAAGTTAAAGAAAAACACCCTATTTTATTAAAAAAAGGGGGTTTGTGGCTATGTTCCCATTGGGGTTTCACCATCCCATCCTGTCCTGATAGGAGTGGAGGGGAAATATAGCGCATAGGGACACAGAAATAACCTTATAGAGAGTGAAATGCTTCTGTACTCTATCCAAAACACAATATATTTTGCTGTAATTTGGCTTTCCTTGAGTATTTTACTTGCTGTACTGTACTTGCCCTCTAAAAACATACCCCTGAGCCACAATATCTTGCCAGCCTTGGAGCGGTACTGTCATATCCATCATAAATTTCCATGAAGTCATAACCACAATCAGATTCTTCCTCCATTTCAAATATTTCGAAGATTAATTCCACACCATAGCCATCTTCTGCTACGATGACCCACTCACAATTTAACTGTACTGGGTAATTGTTATCACCATACTGGGCATGGGAATACAGATCCTTAGTCTGGATTTCAGCTTTTAAGCGTCCTCCACATTCTAAATAAAAAACACAATTGTTCATTAAGAGGAATACCATCCCTAAACCCACCCCCAAAAACAAACACTGGACACTGAAAAAAATAAAAATTAAAAGGTAAAACTGTACATTCCTAATAGAGGTCAGCCTCATATAATAAGCTTTTGTATTTAAATGGAATATAGTCAATAAAATGTATGCATATACCTGTACTATATTTGGCCTGAAATCCTTTTCTCTGCACTGAAGCATCAGAATAAAAACGTAGAAACATGTTGTTTGTTGATGCAATTACCGGTTCTGGTTTCGTGCTGCCGCAAAACCGCCCAAGAACGGGGAATTTGCTGTTGGGTCCGTCGTATAATTCAAGGTGATCGTAGGCACATTCCTGGTGCAGTTCAATTTCAAAATCATTAAAAACCTACAGTATAATAATGCACATCTGTATAAGCAAGGCAAGCTCATATACATTAAGTGGGGATTACATTATATCATAGTTCCCCATAAACAGCTTTAAGAGCTAACAGAAAACCTGAAACCATATGTATAGCCAAAACTTTTTTTTAGTTTTAGATAGGATGGAGAATGCAGAATCCCTGTAAAGTTTATATTACTGTACGTGCCCCTGCTAGGCAGATTCACCCGGTCTATTTGTCCTTCTGAACACCATGACAGATAGTGATGGAAAATCCAAAATTTTACAGGTGTCACTGAAACTGGATCAGAGGAGAAACCTTTCAGTTCAATCTCCTGTCTAAACATTCTCACGGTTTGTAAAAATTGCCTTTCACTTTCTATTCTATCTCTGGGGCAAGGAATGAAGGGATATCTTCCCAACAGGCAGCAAAAAAATAATAATAAATACATTTAAAAAAACAGGCATCTAAAAAAAACAACAACTTTCCTTTCGCTATCCAAAACTAAAAAGAAATATGCTTTAATATGAATTGTCCAATTTACAGAACTGAGATCATCATCACTCTGCATGTACTGTCTTCTGCATCTTCCAAAAAGACAAAGTTCAGTGTACAAAACCCAAAGACTACATTTACTTTAAAGGAGAACTATGAGATGAGTGATCACAGGTTCTAGCCGACCTGTGACAATGAGACTGTCACAGGTCGGCTCAGTAGATCGGGAGGTGAGCGAACACATACCAGGTTCGCTCACCTTCCGATCCTGTCACAGCTCTCTGCCGGCGCAGGGGGAGGGGCTGGATTCCCCTCTCTCCGCTCTGCCAGCGCTGACTGGCGGAACGGACGGGGGAGGGGGCGGGTACAGCTGGCTCTGCCTCTAGATAGGCAGAGCCAGCTGTAGCTCGCGGTATACTGAGCTTAGGGTAACGGAAGGACGCTAGTTTGTGTCCTCCCGTTACCCTAAGGAGAACTATGGGGAAAAACACTGACCCCATAGTTCTCCTTTAATGCTAAAAATGGACAAGGAAATACCAATGACCCAGATATCCATCTACCATTTATGGGACCATGAAGGACTTTTTCCTCACTATACATTGTTTTAATTCCCAAGAACAATCAAATAAAAGTGAATCCTGCAAGTTATAACAGGGAATGTTTTTTTTTTTTTAAAGCAAGGCAATGCACAATTGCATTTACTGATGCTGTTGACTATCCCCTACTTCAAAACATCACTGAGGAACTACACTGGTGAGTGGTTTCTCCACAGGAGTAGATAAAAGCATGCAATTGAACTTTAATGAGTTATCTGTCATATCATATTTAGAGTAGGACACTTACAAGTTTGACTCTGTGACCAGCAGTAGTAGATATGCCCCATGTGCACTCCTTGCGGCTAGGATACTTGTCAGGATAACTTGGGCTTGAAATTGTTCCTTCACCGTTCACAAGTCTGTGTTCACAGCCAGCTAGAGATAATTAGTGTGTTAGCAACACGCAATGATTCAAACAATGTAACAGGTCACTTGAAACTTAAGGTATGTTAAATATTCCATACTATATTAACGTAAGAGATGCCCCTTTTAATAACTGACAAGTTAATAAGCCTCTACCTAAATTAGCCCTTGTATAGTCTGTGTATGGAACATTAGACCTTAAAGTGACATTAAAAGGAAATCTCCCCCCCCCCCCCCCCCAGATCCTCCTTTTCCTGTAGTTATCAGTAGTGCCTCTAGCGCTGGTTCCGGTCTATGATCCATCGCTGACTGCTGTGTCTTCTGTGTCCCACGGAGTTTGTGCGGGTGCAGGCTGTGTGCATTGACTTAACCTGTGTCGCTCCTCCTCTCCCGGCTGAAGATCTGCACTGCAAATGCCGCTGCCCGAGATTTTTCAGATCTTCAGAAGGGAGCATGCGGCAGAGACATAGGTAAATTCCCAAAAAAGTTTTAAACTATTTTTGTTTTAATGTTTTTGCATATATCTACTGCTTGCTAGGTTTACATATCACTTAAAGCAAGGGTAGACAAATATGAAATTCAGAAGCCAGGCTGTCTATGCCAGGAGCCAGCAGGAAAACCTCACAAATTAGGCACCAGCTGCCATTTTTGAGGCGCATTGGTGACCTGGCTCCTGGGATTTGTCAAATCATGCCTTAAAGTCTATTTAAACCCAACAAATAAAAACAAAAATATTGTAACCTTTAAGTCCTTAGATGTGGTGCCTACATTATTATTTTCCGGATTTTTACCCTTTATATTCACCTGATCCAGCCAGTAACACATATCCTGTCCCGGGTGACAAAGCTCACTCACTGTACTGTATCTATGCAGCAGCAGTGTCACCCTTGGGCAGGAATTGTGTTTGCAGGGATCTCAAGTCTCCCTGATGTTCAGGGAGTCTCCCTCTTTTGGACAGCAGCTCCCTGATGACCGCGAGAGAGGCATTTTCTCCCTGAAAGGTTTACTGAAAGGTAAACCTTTCCGGTAAGATATCAGTGGGTAAAGTTTCAGAGTGAGGCTTGCCTCCTGGAGGAAGGTCATGTGATCTCTAGAGTAGCCTCAGAACGAGGCTTGGCTCTCAGAAGGAAGAAGCTACTTGCTGCACAGAGCACAGGGCGGACATAGACTACTATTGAGAGCAGACCCAAAAAACATCTCTCCCTCTCATTACAACATGTGGTGTTCTGTAGTCCACACAGAGAACGGATACCAACTATGGTATATTTAAAAGACCAATAGAGAGCAAACAAGAAAAGTTCACTGTTCGGGTTTACATACATGTATGTTTCTCATGAGAGAGGACTAATGTAAATGGTAAAGTGCTGCAGATTTTGTTGGTGTAAACAAACATAATAAAATAAATCCAACAAACCTGTTGTCAGTAATAAAATAATTTCTGAAAGGGAAACATACCCATGTAAAGCATCACTAAGCGATGTAGAGGTGAACCTAGTTTTTAGAGCAAGTCATTTTTGGCAAAGGTTTGCACAAAAACATTGGTGTTTTCTTCAGTGGGATTACCAAATAGGAACCTTCAGAAAGGTTACCAAATTCACCCATGAACACTAGTAAACTCATTTACACATCTCAATTTGTAATGTATTTATATGCATAACATGTTCGAGAGGAAAAGCACAATATTTATACAGCTATATGAGCGTTATCTGCTGGATGGGCATTTCTTAGGGCTTAGAGTAAACTATGTATTTTTGGTTTTCTACTCATTTTCATGGGTTATTTTCTAAAAACTATCCTGTGTGAAATCAACTAAAAAATGGAAGCCAACGTAAACAATTAAAAAATAATTTTTAATGAGCGCGTTTATGGGGTTTTTGTTTTCAATGCACCTAATGCCACAAAGAAATTATCCCAGTACTTAAAGATCTACTACCCCTCTTCTGAACATGAGTTACCTGGGTGCTTGCTTGCATCTTTACCCTCCGTTTCTGTGGGTTTCCGCCACAATCCAAAAACCACTCCATAGAGTGATAGTGTAGGACTGTAGTGGGGACATGGTGCTGTAGACAAGAGCATGGTCTACTGTGCACTGTGTTGATACTATAGTACATCTGAGCAAAATACAACCTATGCAGTACATCTCTAATAGACATGCCCTGAAATCCCAAGCAGTGTCAGCTCTGCTGGACTTCAGAACACCTCCCCCTCTCTTATCTTATGAGGGGGGTCTTCTGAAGCTCAGCATATGATTTCTGAAGTTCAGCAAGGGAGAGCGCTGACAGGTCCGACAACATTGCTGGTGATTTTAATGCAGCAGAGGCAGCACTGTCAGCTCATTTATGACAGATCAGCAGGTATTCCATATGACAGATGGATTTATGACAGATCAGCAGGTATTTTTCTGCACTTGCAGGGTTTTAAAGGGATAAAACTGGAAAATGTGCATGCATTGCAGAAATGTACTGTATATATATATATATATATATATATATATATAT